TCAAAAAATCTCACGATGAGATGAAAATGCAACTGTGACTTAAGTATATTGAAAATCTCCGTCGTGGTCATCATCATCATTACTATTAATATTTTAGCAATAATAATAATAACACTAATAATGATGATAATGGTAATAATACTAGTAATGATAATAGTAATAATAATAATAATAATAATAATAATAATAACAATGATAACAATAATAACAATTATATCGATACTAATGATGCTAACAATAATAACGATGACAACGATGATAATGCTGATAATGATAATAATGATAAAGATATTAATGATAATGATGATGATGATCACCATGATGATCATATAATCATGATAGCAATAATAATAATAATAATAATAATGATAATGATAATAATAATAATAATAATAATAATAATAATAATAATAATAATAATAATAATAATAATAATGATAATAATAATAATAATAATAATGATAATAATAATAATAATAGTGATGATAATGATAATAATAATATTGATAATAATAATGATAATGATGATATTGTTAATACTACCATTGTTATCATTATTATTGTTATTGTTATTATCATTGTCATTATCATTGTTATTCTTAATCTTTTATTATTATTATTATTATTATTGTTGTTATTATCATTATTATTATTATTATTATTATTATTATTATTATTATTATTATTATCATCATCATCATTATCATTATTATTATTATTATTATTACTAATATTATTATTGTTATTATCAATAATAATTATAATAATGACAGTGACAATGATAATCATATTATTGTTACGATCTTACAATGATAATGAGATAATATCAGTGACAACAAGTATATTTCTTCTCATTATTATCATCATCATCTTATTGTTATTAATAAAAATAATTACTATCATTGTTATTATTATTATCATCAAAGGTAGTAATAATAATGATGGTAGTAATATTAATAAATATTATCAATACTAATATTAATACTAATAATCATTATTATAATGATAATAGTAATGATAATAAATTTGATGATGATAATGATGATAATGATAACAATGACAATAACAATAATGATAATAATGATACTGATAGTGATTATGATGATAATAATAACAATAAAGGTAGTGATTAATTAATTGCCATCACCACCACCACCATCATTATAAAAAAAAAAAAAAAACATCTTTTCCATCACCCTCACCACCAGCCACACGCTTTCCCTCAGCAGCAGCATTATCACCATCCATCCTCTCACCATCCCTATCAACACCACCCTTCCCTTCAGCACCCCCCCCCCCATCCTTCCTCCCCCCCACCACCCTTCCCCTCAGCATCCCCATCAACACCACCCTTCCCCTCAGCATCACCCCCCCCCCCATCCTTCTCTTTAGCATCCCCATCAACACCACCCTTCCCCTCAGCATCCCCATCAACACCACCCTTCCCCTCAGCATCACCCCCCCCCCCATCCTTCTCTTTAGCATCCCCATCAACACCACCCTTCCCCTCAGCATCCCCATCAACACCACCCTTCCCCTCAGCATCCCCATCAACACCACCCTTCCCCTCAGCATCACCCCCCCCCCCATCCTTCTCTTTAGCATCCCCATCAACACCACCCTTCCCCTCAGCATCCCCATCAACACCACCCTTCCCCTCAGCATCACCCCCCCCCCCATCCTTCTCTTTAGCATCCCCATCAACACCACCCTTCCCCTCAGCATCACCCCCCCCCCCATCCTTCTCTTTAGCATCCCCATCAACACCACCCTTCCCCTCAGCATC